AAAAAAAAAAAAAAAAAAAAATCAACTTTAAGATGGGTTGGATACCATAGACGGGGTTGGTGGGGGGATAGTGGGGAGGCAGCAAGAAAAGTCCTAATTCAGTTGGACACAGAACTGAACAGGAAAAAAGTTTTGTAACACTGCGAATTAATTAATATTAATACTATATCAATAATTAATGTAATTTATATTATTCTGAATGTGTTAATCAGTTAATTAACGACGAACGGACTCATAAATGTTTTGGATATTCTTTTTTTTTTTGAGTTGGAGTCTCCTCTGTCGCCCAGACTGGAGTGCAGTGGCCGCTCCTGGCCACCGCAGCCTCGACCTGCTGGGCTCCGGCGATCCTTCCGCCTCAGCCTTCCAAGTAGCCGGAACTACAGGCGCGCGCTACCACGCCCGGCTGATTTATTGCAGAGATGCGTTCTCACCAAGTATTCTTAAAATAAGCAGGTTTGTTACCCTCTAAGCTTAATTCTCCTTACCTGCGAAAGCAAAGGTAATGATAGAATCTAGCTTAGAGTCGTTGGGAGGATTAAATGGGACGATGCACTTTGACCCGGCTATATGGTAAACACTGTTTTAGGGAACACAGTAATTGCTATTATCAACATTTCTAATATTCATTTTTTTTGCACATGCATCTTCATTCAATACTCAAAAAGGAAACAAGCAGAGAGCCAGGACAGTATTTATTAATTACTCTTCTGTACCAGATACTTTACTGATACTTAAACCTCCCATGAGGACCCTAGAGCGCCGCACGTACCACGGAGAGGACTTTTTCGCCGCTCGCGGGCCACGGAGGGTTGCAGGCAGGGCCTGAGTTGGATTCTGTCCCCCGCGGATACGTGGCCCGCGCGGACATCTCACCTGGCAGGTTCTCGCACCTCCCTCCTTGCCGGCTTTGGCTCCGGTCGCAGGTAGAGAGACGCCAGAGCGCGCACCGACCGCTTCCCAAGGGCCCAAGGGCGCATGCGCGCCTCCGGCTGCCGCCGGGGGCGCTGGGAAACCGGGCGGCGACGGTGTCGTAAAAGCGTCGCGAAACCATTCGCTCTTGGCGGCTCCCTGCCACCTGTATATGCGGAGCGTGCACGGGTTTGAAAACGAGTATGGAGGCGGCGGAGTTTCCTCAGGGCCGCGGGCACTCCAGGGAGAAGCAGCTCGCTGGTGTCCCCGGCTGCTGAGCTCTCGCCGCCTGCACCCTCGCGGCGCGGCCGCAGGGTCATGCTGGCCTCGCGCGTGGCGCGCGGCTCCTGGGGGGCCCTGCGCAGCGCCGCCTGGGCGCCCGGGGCGCGTACGGGCAAAGGGCGCGTCCGCAGGGCACTGGTGGCGTCCGCGCGCTGCTGACAGGTGTGCCAGGTCTAGCGCTCTGGGATTCTTCATGGGCATATAAATACGTGGCAGCTTTTACATTTAGTTGTTGTGCAGTTCCATACAAATACAGAAAGGACAAAGAACAGAGACAGATGGAGAGGTTGGAGAAAGAGGGTGGGATAGAACTTTCCAGTGATCATGCTCCTACAGAAATAATTTGAACAATAATT